TCCTCATCTGTTTTCTTTGCCATGTATCTGCGTAGTGTTTGATACAGTGGATATCTTATCTCGTCTACAGTACTACTAATAATCTGGAAAAAAAAAAAAAAAAAAACACCTCACCTGTGTTTGAGTCAGGTTAAAGGCAATATACTTGCTTTTAAATAAGAAAATGTAGATTTTTTTTTTTTTTTTCTTGTATAATCAGCATATTCAGCAGAAAACTTCTGGCTAAAAATGTCCTCTGTTTATTATTGCACTTATCATTGCAAATAGTTATAAGAAGACACCTTCCAACTGCGTCCACCATCATATAATCTTGTATTATCAGGTAAGGGAGGCAGAGATGCCAGCTGGTCTTCCGGAATGTGATTTGCAGGGCAAAGGTGGAAAAGTCAGGAGCTTTTCTTTATTGGCATAGTATCGTTTGCTTTCTTGTAACACTTGCAAGAAGCAGGCACAATCCACCTTAAATGCTGGTGAATGAAGGAGATCTGTAATCATTGATGGAACTACAAAACTAGGGCTGGAAAGGTTCTGAACAGGTCATCTAGGTCATCCCTGTACCTTAAGGCAAGCTAACTTAATGAAAACCATTCTTGAATGATGCCTGTTCTTCTGTGTCTGCCTTAGCAGTGGTTTTACATACTTCCTGAGTCATTATTCAAGTGTTTATCTGTCTTTTTTATTGCAAGTGGTTTTAGCTGTAAACATGTATGCTCCTCTAAACTCATTGGTTCTTTTCCTATCTACAGATAAGTTGATTTATTACCTTTTTTGCAATGACATTTTGCATATTTGAAGGCTGTTGTCACATCTGCCCTCCGTTTTTCCTACTTTAGACTAGTTAAACCAAATTTTTCAGTTTTTCCTAACAGGTCATGTGTTTTTAGAGTGTTGTCATTCTTGTTTTTCCCTTTTGAACTGCTTCAACTGATCCAGTGTTTTTTGAAGGGTGTTGCTCAAAGCTGAACTTGCAGCTCCACAGAGCTCTGTGAGAGCCTAATAGAAGCATTTGAATTTATGGCCAAATGGAAACGCACAAAGTCCAACTGTAACGTCAGGGGAGATGACTTCTTGTGATCACACGCAAGTTCAAATTCCATTCGTATAACTATACTTCTCCAATATACTGTCAACAATCCTTTTCAGACATAGCACACAACTAAATACTTAGCTTAGGTGGAAAACAGCATTTCAAAATCTCTCCATGCTCATGTATTCTTTTTTCTCTTATTTCTGGTTTAAGGCTAACATAAGAACACGTGATTACATATCATACATCTCTAGCCTATTACATACTTTTGTGCAGTTAAATACATTATCTCAAGTTTAGACTTGCTTCAGAACATTTGGGATAAGATGGAATTGGAGTGAAGACTCCTTACTACCTATACCAGTCTTGCTCTTCTTTTGTTTTCACTGTAAAAAATGAGCCACAGAAATCTAGCACCACTGTTGATCTCTTCTAGGAAAGTCTTTCCTCTTTGGTTCTGCTCTTTAGACTCAAAATTGTATCACTGAATTTAGTGCAAGCAAAAAACTTGAGGCTTCTTGGTATCCCTTCTTGTGGGATGTAAGAATGAAAGGATTACACAGACTACTTGCTTTGAAGCACAAAATTTGAACAGTAAAAGATTTGATTGCCCCTTAACTTGTTTTCTGGTGTAGTATTCCTAATTTAGTAGTCCTTCTGTTTCTCTCCTGTGACAGGTGGTGTTGTAGATGTTTCTGATAATGCGTAGTTGGTAGATGAGTATCTGCACTGTCCCTGTGGGGTTATCAAGGGAAAGATGTGTGCTCTCTCTCTGACACCTTATTTTGTGGGGGTAATGATTGGCTTGTTAAGTTGTTCCAAGTTAAATGGGACATCTTACAAAGGAGAGCTCATATTTGTAAGTGTGATAAACTACAGCTCTTTGACTCACCATTTCCCTCGTTGTGGTTTTATACTTTTCAAATATGAATTCAGTGTTTATGAAAAAGTCTGAAATCTTAGCCTTGGGATGTGAAATACTTTATTTAGAGAACTGAAGTGCTCAGGCTGTTTCGAGTCTCAAGCTGATGCAAGTGGTACTTAACCTGTACTGAAACGGGCTAACTCTGAGTGAAAAGCGAAAAGCAGCTTTAGTTTGTAAACCCAGTCTACACTATGACTTTTTCTCCAGATGGCCAGCTAAGGTGCTGAATGGTGCTTGGAAGACTTTGAAGTGAAAACCTGTTGATCTTAGGGTAACAACTTAAATTCATATTTTAGCTGTTGAAAATTTGGATTGCAAGTTTGACGGGTGGTCACTGTGAGGAGAAAAAAATACTCTCCTTGTGCCTGTGTCCATGGCTACAAATGTTGCTTGTATGTAACAGTAGATACAAGGTACAACCTTCAGAAGTTGCCACGCTATCTGAAGTCAGTGGTTGCCAGGGGAGCCTGCTGTGCGCTGGGATGTGGGATGTGCTGTGTCTGCAGTCTCTGCAGCCCAAGCTGCAGGAGCCGTCACCGGGCATTTCGCCGTGACGGAGGCCAAGGGCCTGAACCTCCCAGTAAGGGGGATGGCTATTAGCAAATTACTAAGAGGACTTGCTGAAAATGACAGAAAAATAATTATAGATTTTTTTTTTTTGGCTCGACACCTGGCACTTCAGATGACATCATTTCTTTCAGAAGCTTTGTCTGGATAAGTGGGAAATGGTTGACTTCGTTTATATTGTGGTTTGGTTGTTCTGTGATGAATAGAAACTACAGCTACTGAAAAAATGTTTAGTTTGCTTTCTTGCTTTGAAATACTGAAGAATAAAGGTAACCACAGCAAGGAGGTCTTGCACTGCTCATGAGTTCCCTAGATTTTTACAGCAAAGTTTTCAAAGAGATTTTCAGTCAGTTTTTTTTTACCATGGTGGATTTCCTCTTGTCTTTGCTTCTAAGACTCTTACTGTCTGTATTTCATGTGATTTCATGTAGTAAATACTCCATGCAGGATTTTGATATCCAGAAATTTATAAACAATCACAGCTGCATGTGTTTCTCTTAATTTTTTTAAATAAAAAAGGGATTCTCCCACCCCCCCCCCCCCTTCTAACCCCCCCTTTGTTTTGTCTTAAAAATTTGCGGTGTTGAAGCTGGGAACAATAGAATGCAAAAAATGTCATCAGGTCTTCAGTGGTTTTGATGGGCTGGTTGAATGTTTAAAACTACTTTGCCTTTCAGCATTGGTGCCTGTATCCTACCTAGAGCCAGTAGATGTGATGGTCTGTGATAAGTATCTGAAGAACTGCTTTCACAGCTTGCTGAAGATAATGTAAATTGACTTTCTCCCTGGAGGTGTGAAAGATGGATAAACAGAAATTGCAGAGAGCACTGCAGCAGCCACATAGCCCTGACATCCCCAAGGTGTTTCCTTTAGTCCCCAGCTTCCTAGTGCTTTCCACCACCTCCTGTTACACGTTGACGAAGCAACATCAGTAGGAAAGCTACATCTCTTTGTTCATGGGACTGTATTTTGCGTTACTTTAATGTGTGGAAAAAAAAGGGTAATTTCCAGCCTTGCCTTTCTGAATTCCCCCAGGAAGTGCCCAAACCAAAGACACTTTGGCGTGCAGAGATTTCAAGGCCAGGAGGCTTTGCTGTGACCATCCCATCTGACCTCATGAACATAGCTCCCTGGTTTCCACTAGAACAGGATTCCTGGATTTGGCCTAGATCCAGAGTTAAGCTGCTTCTATAGCTAACTCGAGCACCTGCCTTGCCCCCAGAGTCATCTGGGGGCAAAACTCTCCTGAGCCCAGGCATGAGGGTGGCTCCAGTGCCAGAGGAGACCTGTGTCTCCCTTCGGTGTTGGGTGTAGGCTTGTGTGTTATGGCCTCTTCTAGATAGGCTCATGGGTGTGCTTGGTGTCCACCCTCGAGTCTTGGCATTGTCTCAACCCCTCTTGCCTCTGCCCGGGGACCTCAGCCTACTTTTTGTAATGTCTGAGCTATGGTACGTGGGTCCTTGCGAAGTGGCGCATGGTACCTAGGCTCTTGGTGTTCTTCATAATAACGTACTGTATTACCTATTGCTTGGGTAAGTAGTAAAAGGTAGTTGTTTAGGAGAAAGACAACATGTGATAGCACTTTCTTTATCAAGGCGAGTCTTTTTGTTCTATCTTGCAGTTCAGTTTTACATGGAGTACAATTTCTGTAATGTGAAGTGCAAACAGTACATGTGCAAATTAGGGGAGTGTCTGCTTCGTACTTATACAGCGGTAGTTTTCTAACTGACTGAACTTGATTGGGGGAGAATTTTATATACTAGAAAATGGTATTTGTATGTAAAATTCCCAGTACTTTCCCGCTTTCCCTGAGATGAAGCTGATAATGCTTGGATAATACAAAAACAAACATGTATCAAGCAAAATTTTTATCCATCAACTTTCAGGCATTCAAAAAAAAGAAATGCCTCTCAGAAAATCTTGTTCTAAAACCATTATTAACAATTTTCACTGTAAATGACTGTTTTGTTACTGAATTCTAGAACATTATATTATAAATTAACCTGTTTTAAGAGAGGAATGTTATAGCTAAATGAAGTATGAATAATATAAATATGGGTATTATATAGGTGTGACTACATACATATAAAGTATATTGCGTTTCATATACAACATTTATGTATAATAAGTATAATATATAAAAATAGATTGCTATTGACATTACCAGCATAAAATAGACATGGTTAAGTATTTTGCGTTGTGTAATAGTATTATAATGTCCCTAGAAATTGGCAGGCTGAGAACTGGGTAACTGAAGAGAATTGTGAAGCAATGAATTTTGTATTTTATATCAAAGACATTTGAGAGTGTATAAGGACAAGATATGAAAGAATATTAATACGGTACATAAATAACCATCCTATTCATGTATGCAAATACCAGCCGGAAAATTCTTCAGTAATGCAGAATTATTTTCTGCAGTATTTTAAATATTATTGTGGGTTATATGTAATGGTAATGTTTACATTAACTGTATTTTAGATATCTGATATACATGTTACTGGAGAGTCAGAAGACATGTCTGCTAAAGAGAGACTGCTCCTGTGGTCACAGCAGACAACTGAGGGCTATGCTGGAATACATTGTGAAAATTTCACTACCTGCTGGCGTGATGGAAGATTATTTAATGCCATCATTCATAAATACAGGTAAGAACTCCACTTGTTCTCATGGAAAATGTTAATTATGGCATTTTAACGTTCACAGAAAGAGGGCTCTCTGTTTTATGCCTGTAATAGCACTGCAGCTGTGGAGATGACACTGGCTTTTCCTGGGCAGTTCCCTGCTCCTTGCAGCCAAAGGATGCCTTGTTAACCCTTGCATGTCCCTCCTTTCTCAGAGATGCATCTCTATGAATCCTGTGCATCTCTTATGAGGCACCTCCAGGCTGCTGCAAAGAATGTTCCTAGCGTTTGGTCTTCCCCACAGTCTCTTTTTGTCATACTGACATTTAAGTATTGGCAGGGTAGAGGCAGAACTGATCATCAAAGTCCAAAAGTGCACTACTGCATGACCTGAGATATGCCTGAGATCTCACTGTTCTTCCTTGCATGACTTTACCATGGCCCTGAAGCCTAGAGCTTCTTTGGTGTTTGTTTGGAGCCCAGATCTATTCTGAGATGTGTCTCTTGAAAAATGGCAAGGTGTTCTCATGGAAAATGTGTTCATCTGGCTGGTTGAATGTACTTGGTCTGAGAAGGGAATTGTGCTACTGTGTGCTTTTGTGGCCACACACTTAGAAAGTTAGGCAGTGGTAGAACTGCTACTGGCTGTCACTAGCAGCTGAAGGAGGTATTTATGGTAGCTTGAAATACAACTGAATATGTCTGCTGATCAGAGAGGATTTCCAGTTCTGGATTCCATGTAAGAACAGATCTCTCTTAATAAAGCTGGCCTGGGCATCAAAGCTCATCAGAGGAACAAGATGTAAGATCATTGCTGTGCTCAGTGTTCCCTCTTGGTTGGCGGCATCTTTTAGGTTTTGTACATTCTTTGGTTCATGAATTGAATAAGGAGGTTTGTGTCTTAGAGGACCACATGGGAAAGTATTCTGGCCACTGGGCTAATTGGTGTGTACTGACTTGTCCCTCACTGCACAAGGCTTGCAGCTTCCTGGGTTTTGTTACAGGGTGTGTAGTTTGTGCCGTATGCCCTCGGGCATATCCTAAGGAAGTGTGAGGGTACATGACTTCCTTGGTAGAATACTGGAGGAGTGCTCCAAGTGGACAGAGACAAACCTGGTTTAATGTGGCTCCAGGGAACAGACCCTGAGCAGGTTACTCTCTTTCTGGATTTCCTTGTGTGGGATCATTTGGCTCACCACAGAGAGAGGCGTAGGCAGAGCCACCATGTGTGTGGTACGGGGACCAGGACACTAGAGTCAAATGGGAGACAAGTCAGGCAGACCTGACAGCCTTTTCCTCACACGCTGTGTGGAGAGGCTGTAAGCATAACACAGAGTGCTCTGAGGCCTGGGCAAGTTAGCTGTGGCAGCCCATAACTTCATGGTAGAATGAAGCTGCAGCTGAATCAATGAGGCCTTTTTCTGACTAAGCTTCTGTTCTGGGTAGCCCGTTAGGGAGGAGGTGCACGCCAGCAAGAAAGTCTTCTTTTAGCAACATTGGCAAGACAAAGGGAAATAGCTGGCGAAAGACTAGTCTGTTTTATTTCAGGACAGAGCAGCCAAAAGAAATGACATAGCACAAGCAAGTATTTAAAAAAAATAAACAATTTGAAAGATACAGAGAGAGGGGGAGGGGAAAAAAGGAAGAAACTTAATGAGATGGAAAAACAGAAAATATTTCCCAGAATTTCTTCATAGCCTTATACGACTTATTCTTTATATTCTTTATATCTCAGCAACTAGTAGTTGTGGTACAGATCAGTTAATAAATAACAAAAAATGTGATTTCTGTTCTCAGGCTGTGTGAATGTTGATGCTTTGGGACATGACTGTGTACCTGCAGTTGCTTTATTGGAGCAGTGTTTCTGGCACCACTCTGGGAGTTTCTTTCACAGGGTTTCAGCAGGGCTGCCCAGGCACCTTTGACACGAGTGTGTTGCACGAAGCAGATGATTCTGTGGCTGAGGAGCTGAGTCCCCATTTTGTGTACCTCTGCCAGTTTCCATTTAGCTTATCCTGTTCCTGTAAGCATAACTTCTCTGCCTAAGGATCCCGTGTCCTTCCCAGAAATGTTTACTATCCTTATCTGATGTCTTTTTGCTGTGAGAGGTTACAGATTCTTGGCCTCCATCTTGCTGATTAAATCAATTAGATTCTTCCACTGATTTTGATGAGCTTCTATGTTTCTTTCCTGTGCTGTTTTGTACCATCAAAACAGAGATAGCAGTTTCCAGCTATTGCTCACAAGATAGGAATGGTCTTCCCAAACAGTCATCTGATATTTTTAACTACAGTTTTACTCCAGAGAGCTCTTTTAAAGCTTGGTTTGTGTTCTGAGGAGTAAGTAGGTTAAACACTAACAAAACGTGTGCGTTTCTGGCAGCGGTGCTCCATCTGCTCTGTTTGCCTGTTTCAGTAGCTCCCAGTTTGTGGTTCCCAGGTGGTCCCAGGAGCTAGGCTGAAGATCCTGCTAACGCTGCTGACTGGTGTGCTTCATGAGGGTGGGTGACCAGGGGTGCCTGCTCGGCGGTGGGACAGGGGTACTGTGGTTGGGCTGCGCCAGTGCAGGGGCCGTAGCTCAGCCAGGGACCAGAGCTGAGACCACCAGCAGCCAGGGGACAGGAGCCACACTGTCTCTGAGCTGCACCTGAGTGCAGACAGCAAACCAAACTCCCAGGTCACGGCCCTGACGCCATGGCTGAGAGGCCTTTGCTAGATACACCATCAAGAACACAAGCTGTATGGGTCCAGCATGGTCCCTACTGTCAGTCACCTGAGAGACAGGGAGATATCACTGTCCAGTTCCAGGTGACGGGGGACGGCAGTGGCAGGTTATAACTAACCTCCTTTCCACACAGAAGATTTTCTAAATTTCAAATATGCATCAGCTTCAGGACTTCAGGAAGCTGGTGAAGCTGTGGAGGGCTGGGACGTGAATCAGTTGCTGGTGATCAGGGAGCTTCTCCCCTTGGTGGGGCCAACAGCCTGCCATGCTCTTAACAGCAGCTGGGGGTGGTTTCACCCGTACTCCCAGTAGCAGTCTCCATTTTTTTCTGTCCTGGCAGAGGATCCCAGCCCCTTTTGGTGCAATCCAGCTGAGCTTTGAGATGCAGCAGTACTGCATGGATTTGCCACGGCTCCCTGCTCTGCCCAAGGTTCATGGGAGTAGCAAGATAAGGCAGATATTTCCCTGGCATGACAAACTACAGTAGCGCTGCAGTGTCCTGTCCCCCTGGCCCGTGTGGACCCACAGCCACGCTGGCAACACTCCCCTTCCAGCCCCGAGCCGGGCGCCGCAGGAGGGTGCAGGAGCCGGGCCACAAGTGACCGGGTTGGTCACCTGCTCTCCTGAGCAAATGCAGGGTATTTGTTTTCTTTCCTCTCAAGCAACAAGGGTTAGGGCGTCAGAGATTTTCGTAAGAGCCTTCAGTCGCTTTCTCTGTTACTTCTGTTAAGAGCATGAATGAGTTTCAAGTGATTTTGCAGTGTTCTTTAAATCAAGGAAAGTAATTTTATGAATGACAGAAATGAGAGGAAAAAATTACTGTCTGAAGTACTTAGCTCCATATACAACTCGATTTTTTTTTCCTCCAAATTTAGGAAAATGTAGTTTGTTTTCATTTCAGAAGATTGCTGATGTTTTCAGCAGTCTCCAGTGGGCTGTGTTTATAGGGTAAAATTGAAGTGTACTCAGCTGATCTTCTGAGGAGTATATAAAGCTTCCATTTAAAAACATCCTGTACATGGTTAAATCCCTTGGAAATGAACATGGCTCCACACCGGCCTCCAGAACTGCCTCAGGGGGCTCCACTGCAGGCCCTGGATTTTGCTTTTCATGCTGTTATTCTGTGTGAATATTTATTCTTGCATAGAAAGACCAAATAAAATTTTAAAATTAAAAAGTCAGTTTTAATACTGAACAGTACCAGGTTGGTTAACTATACAATTTTATTTAAATATATCAGCTTTCAGACTGTTTCTTGAACATCCACACCTTTCTTCAGATCTGTGGTGAGGCCGTTAGGAAAAGCTAGAGATACACCCAGGAGATTGGAGAATATTCTTTATGTCTCATCTGTTATGTAATTGGCATTTTAGAGCTTAATTTTTCATTGAAGACGTGTTATTTGCTTCAATACGTTGTGTTGGAAGAAATGTGACTTCAGGCAGTTTCAAAAGTACGTGATGTTTCTTTCATGCCATCATATCATATGTAAGCCAGACTTTGAAGCTGGAGGCTGACTTGAATGAGCATGTAGTACCCCCGTTTCCCTGGAGATCCTGCTCTTTTCATACTGGGGTCTTCATCTTGTAGCTCTGTCACCTCATGTGTCACTAGGCTGTGTTTTGGGTAAATGCTTTTGATTTGTGTTTTTGCTTTCTGATGCCTTCTGCTCAGGAAAAAGAAATACTCTTTTTTTTTAAAACTATATCCCATTGTTAAAATATATAGAAAAAGCTGATGTCTACAGAGAATGAAGGTTACTTTTCTTGAGAGTTGCAGGCCAGATTTGAACTACTACTAATCTAAATTATAGATCTGTGTTAAACTTTGCAGGTGCATTTATTTTAAAGCAAAGCAAATTCAAATAAAAAGTTACAGCAAATTAACAGACTGCTTGTTTTAACCTCAGACTGCCTGGAGTCTTTGGTACATGAGGACTGCAGGCAATTTCAGTTAAAAAGTGTGTGAAAATGGAATTTAAGAAATAGCAACAAAGTGGCTATAAGATTTACAGGTAAATGGCACCTATAGACAGTTCATTAAGGACAGTGGCTACTGATGCTCAGAAAACAGACATGTCTGCTGACCACATCTTACTTTCTAAAGAAAAAAGGTGAGATATGGAGGATAAGGAAAGAAGATTAACATTAGACCCGCCCTCTTTTTATAGCAATGTGTGTGCTCCTTTCTACATTTTATTTTTGTATTCTTTACAGATTTTATGATAGAGAGATAATTTTGCTTTTAGCATTTACAAAAGGAATTCCAGCAAGAGCAGTATGTTCCTGTGTTAACTAGAT